ACCCCCTCATCTGGTTAACTTCGCCAGTCGGGGTGGTTACCGGGGTGTGGCAGCAAGGCGGAGCCTAGGTTTGAGGAGCCATAGGTGAGTGTTTGTTGCCAGATAATGAATGCCAGATGTAGCCAACCATCGACAACCAACTGTTCGTAGATGACTGAACACTTAATACAACGACGGAAGCTGTCTTCCAAAGGGGCACAGACTCCTTCGCCTTCGGATGCGTCAACTTCTGATTGACCATCGACACGGAGAAAACGGTTGCCATGCCTCAATCGGCGTTACACACGGACTACAGGGAACCCCAGATCACCGTCAGTTAACTCCGCTCAACATTGTGGACATATTCGCGTACCTAGGCAGTATAATCTCGCGGAATGTCAGCTCCGACGAAGAAGTGGTCCGCCGGATCTTTACAACCAGCCAGACATTTGACCGGCTACAGACCTCAGTCTGGAATCGTTGAGGACTTCATCTAAACCCCAAACTCAAAATGTACAGGGCGGTTATCCTGACAACACTACTCGTTGGGACAGGGAAATCGCAAGAGGCGGCGGGCTGGGTTTAGAGGGCTGGCATGTCGGGGCGGGTGAATAAGGACGCGTATAGGGCACCTTCAGGCGGTCGATCGAGACCACCTGGATGAGATCGTCATTGACGATTTTTAAACACTTGTCTGGGCGCGATAGGACTCGGAAGAGTGCGTCGCAAGGCCGCTGTAATGACTTACTGACACTATCTACGAGGACAAGCACTGGAGAGGATGTTTCCAAGTTAGGGTCGATATACGATCTACTTGCTGGAGCGTGGGAGAGGAGATTAGTCATTGCCTGGCGCAACCATTGGACGTAATTAGTAGCATCCAGGTCAGCTAGGCTTTGACGCAGCTCGAACAATCTCCAAGGATCCGTAGGGCACTTCCGCAACGATTTTGATGGCGGAATACTTCAAGTCGGGTTTTCGTGAAGTACGGATACCAACATGACCAAGGGTAGACGCTCGCACCAGTGAGTGAGGTTGTCATAGGCCTGGAGCGAGGCTTTGAGCTGACAGTGAAAACGCTTGACTTGACCGTCAAATAAGGAATAGTAGGCTGTCACGCCCATATAGGAACACGTGAAGTGGTCAGTAAGGCTATTAAAAAGTCTAGATGCAAATTGCTGACTTCGGCAGTCATGCAAATCAGCAAATTGTAATGAGCACATAGTTGCGACCAGGGACTATGGGCAAAGGGCCTGCCAGATCAATGTGCATATGAGCAAGATGTGCGTCGGGTGCGAGAAAGGTTCCAATGGAAGTTTTGTGGTGTCGTCTGCTTTTGGGCTTTCAAGTAGGCTAAACATGAGCGAGTCTACTGATGAATATCGGTCTTCATGCTGAATCAGACGAAACAGTCACTAATGAGGCACTGTGTAAACCGAACACCAAGATGAGCAGGATTGTGCAACGCGCTGGAAACATCTTGACGCATTTCTCCTGGTACTTTGAGTCAGGATAAACCGCTCGACGCGTCATACAGAGTGTACCGGAGCTGACGGACAGAGGAATAGCCCTGGTCTGAGAACTAGTATAGGCAAGTTGCTCAGTAAGATCAGGCTGACGTTACAGCTCGGCCGTGCGCTCCAACTTGATGGAGTCGACAATGGCATTAGTACGGGGCTGAAAAAACAATCAGCAGTCTAATTAGAAAAGCCTTTAAGAAAACGAATATATGTGGTATGCTGGGAAATAAAATCGGATAGCGGGTCTCTCAGATGAACACTTGTCGGAGGAAGTGAAGAAGGCTTAAGAAGGAAGTTTGTGGTCAATGTAAAAGCAAAATCTCCGCCTATGGCATAGTTAGGAAAATCCTTAGTGGCGCGATCAATACCAGGAAGCTCGCGAACTGTCTGTCATATTCCGTATATCTGTAGCAAAGTCCATTCGCAAAGCGGCCACGTCTCCTTGTCGCCGAGAAGGATCCGGCGGGTCTGAGTGCTGAGGTTGACCACCCAGAACGGTTCCTCACTATGCGATTGTAGTGCTCTGCAACTCACCATGATGAGTATTCATCATCTCCTACTCGCGGATGACTGTGCGCTCAACACAACGGAGACGGAAATGCAACGGGACATATAACTCTTTGTCACTGGTTGCTCAAGGCTCTGACTGAAGATCAATACGCAAAAGACTGTGGTTATTTTATCCCCCAACATCATCCAATAAATATAACGTGATAAGGATCAGCATTAACAAAACTCGCCTGATCTCTGTGAGCAAATTTGTCTACCTGGGTAGTACCATTTCAAGAACCACTGGATTTCCAAGGAGGTCCAAGCCAGCGTCCAGCTATAGCCATTCGTTTTAAACCACCGTTGCATTCTCCTTAACACCAAACCGAGGATGTGTAGGGCTAAGATCGCTATACCAAGAGTTTCATTAACCCGACGTTCTGGATTCGCACTCGAATCTATCATCAGGGGTGGTGAGTCGCACAGGTGCTGCAGTATTTATAAGATGCAGCTGCTATGCCACTGCATGTCTATCATGTTTGGCAGCTATCGCAGTCATTGCAGCTAATTACACGTGGGGCGATAATTGCCTACTTACCCGCAGTCGAGTCGCTAATAGTCGGCATAATGCGTGGACTACATCCGAAAGCCAAGCAAGCAATCTCAATCGTTTTTGCGTCTGCCGCCTGGGGGGAATACAAAAGATGGAGTGGTAGGAACGAATCCTAGACATTGGATCGGTCATGTCATTACAGAGGATGGTGTGCGTCTGTCCAAAGGGGATATTTTTGGCTACATCGATAAAGGTGCCCACAGAATAAGCGGACAAAAGCATCGCTAGGAAA